ACAGAGGTATAGAATGTGTGTGTGAGAGAGAGAGAGAGAGAGAGAGAGAGAGAGAGAGAGAGCGATCGAAACAAAGAGAGAGAGAGAGAGTGCCACAAAAAACGAGAAATTGAGAGAAGCAGTAAGAGAGAGAAAAAGGGCGAGAGAGAAAAAGAGCGAAACAGGGAGAGAGATGAGAGAGAAAGGAGAGAAAAGAGAGTGAGAGAGAAAGTGAAAAAGAGGGATTGAGAGAACTGTGTGTGTGTAGGGAACCAAATACTCACATAAAACACAGTAATCGTGAACGAGGGTAAAAGGGCTCCCTACCTCCACGGTGACACCATACATTGCCAACATGATGGAGACTCGACTTGATATTTTTACCGCTGCTGGCGTGAGAGTAGTGAGTATCGCCCAGCTAAAAATAAAACCCGGACCCAGATTCGAATCAAACCCGGAACTAGAGCCTTATTTACATACTTATAACCCCGGAGGTCTGGTTTAGTGATTATATATAGGTAAGGTTAGGATGTGTTAAAATCAGGTTTCGTTAGATTAGTTTGGGTTAAGATGGACAATATTACGGATATATTAGCTTAGGTTAGGTTAGGTTAGGTTAGGTTAGGTTATGAGTAGATCACATCAAGTTCAATTCCGGACCCGATACGAATGACTCCTAGGAAGGTTTGACACATTATTACATGCTACCTTTTTAATTGGGGTCATACTTTCATGGTGGCGCTTATCACTCTGTAGGTAATATAACGATTTATCAAAGTAAAGATGAAGGACTGAACAGTTTCGGTGATAGGAGAAGGTGTGTGTGTGTTTGCCGCCATAAAACAAACACCAATCATACTACTCGAAACAAAAATGGAAGGAAACAAAATCAAAAGGGCTCGAAGCATCGAGTCGGAGCTTCGTTACCACTCGAGACTCACTAGTACGAGTCCCAGGAGACACCCTGGACGGTAAGGGGGAAGGAGGGAAGGAGGAAGAGGTAATGGAAGGAGGAGAGACAGCGAAGAGGGAAAAATATTTGGATACAGAGTTTTAGCCTCTATATCACATCTTCCTACCCTCGGCAACAGAGTTGGGGGAGGAGGGGTTGGAGAAGGTGATAGTGGTGAGAGGAAAAGTGAGTCAGGTGTAATAAGGGGAAGGTGGAGGGAAAGAGGAGGGGCAAGGAGAGAGGAAGAGGACGAGAGGTAGGATAAGAAGAGGGAACAAGGATGTGGTAGGGTAGGGGAGGGGAGGAAGAGGAAAGGAAGGAAGTAATGGGTGGAGGTAGAGTAGCAAGTGGATAGAGAATGGAAGCGGAAGGCGAGAATTAGGGGAAGGGAAAGAGAGAAGAGGCGTGGTAGGGAAAGGGGGAAGAGAAGGGTTAAATTATAAAGGAAAAAAAGGGCCAGGGTTTGGAAATAAGTGTAGGTGGAGTGGGCAGGGGGGGGGCAGAAGGAGAGGTGAGGGAGAGGGAAGAAGGGAGAGGAGATGTTGATGTAAAACACTGGGAGAGGAGGGGTATGAAGGAGAAAGAAAGGGGGGAAGTAAGGAATAGGGGAAGTGTGTAGAGCATAAAAGGAAAGAAAGAGGGAAGAGGAACGTAGCGAGTAAGGGAGGAAGGAAGGGAGAGGTACGTGTGGGAGGTGTGTTAGTATTAACGACTTCGCTGAAAGGTTGAGTTACAGGGTCGTGTTGAGTAATGACTAGACGAGGCAAACACTGGCAGACGAATGGACAGACAAAATGACAGGGATAGACAGACAGAAAGGCAGGCAGAGCGAGATAGACAAATAGATAGACGAGGCAAAATGACGTGAACTGACAAACTGAGAAACAGACAGACAGACAGAATTAAATATGCAAAGATAATCAGACAGACAAAGAGGAACAAAGACGGACAGACAGATAGACATATAGAAAGTAATGGATAGACAGTCAGATAAACATATAGTTAAACAGGGACAGACAGACAGGCAGAGAAACATACGGATAAACAGATAGAAGGAGAGGACAGAAGGACAGAAGGAGCCGCATGACACACACACAGATGAAAGAGACAGAATAACACAGTTTTAGGACAGGATCTCACCCTTTTAATTCTCTAATCTTAGTTAATGGACCGTGATTGGGAAGTCCCATTTAAAGGGATTGACGAATTTCAACCTGACTGAAAACGGGTTACAAAGTTAATGGACTCTAAATCTGATTATTCTTTTATTATATTTTTTTCTTCGTTCTAATGATTTTTTTTATGTAAATGCTATTTGAATGTATTCATTTTCATACCTCGGGTTTCGATTTTTTTTGGAGGGGGGGGGGGTGCGTTATGATTTCACTGCAGGTACCGGGTAACCGTCTGCCCCTATCTGCCTACTGAGACGCTGTCTTTTATGACACGGTTTATGACACAGTGCTATGACACGGGCCTTGACACGGGCCATGACACAGGTCATGACACAGGTCATGACACACTCATGAGCATAATTAACATAAACTTTATCTGACTTTATGGCTACTGTACGAACTTGATAACCAAAAGGTTACTAAAAGTCACTTTACTCTAATGAAATTTACTGTAATAAAGATAACGACTGGTGTTCTGAACATAACAGCTGGTGTTCCGAACAGTAACAGCTGGTGTTAAATAAAGCCAAATATTATATGTTATTCTTTGGTGTACTTATACTTATATAAAGCCTATCCAAAAATATTCCTATTAGTTTTAAATTTATTTCAGGAATTTTGTCAAACGTCAAAAATTAAAAAAAAAAAATCCCAGCACCATAGCGTTCTCCACCTGTTCCGGGGGTCGGTGATTCTATGCCCGGTCACTCCCAGTTCACCCAACTGTATAAATGGGTACCTAAATTTATAATCGAAGGCTGTATTTACACTGTCCCTAACGGGCAGTCATGACTATGGAACCCACTTTCATGGTTTATAATAAATATTTAATATCTTACACTTTTTTTAATGTTATCGTCACTGGTGTTAAAAAGGAGAAAAATAAATATAAAAGATAAACTGGCTGTTAGGTTATTTCTGGTTCAGTTTGTTGAGTAAATGTTAGGAAAAATCATGAAGGGTTTCAAAAAATACCATTAACCATTAGTTTTATCAGAATCTTACGTCGAGAAATACTTTTAACCAATAGTTGTATCACAGACGTGTGTAAAAAAAAATCAAGGATATCTTTTCAGCGTCTTACCAAGTCGAACACCAGAGTTTCGCGTGGTTGAAAGGCCCCGATCAACTTTCCATTGGACTCAATTACAGATATATTTGGTGGATCACAAGTGCCCAAGTCAAAGTTTTGAAAAGATGGAGAATCGACCGTGATTATTTTCTTGAGCTGTTTCTTAACTGAGGAAACTGCAATAGCGCCAACCCTCTCAGTAAGTTCTCTTCCCTGCCAGACGAACACCAGAATTTAAAGGGAATTTCGTTAAAGGTGACCGAAGTGGCTTTATTACACACCCTCACCCTCACCCACATTCCTTCGTCACCCTCACCCTCACCCACACTCCTCCCTCACCCCCACCTACACTCCTCCCTCACCCTCACCACCACTAAGCACTAAACACTTACCGAGGTAAAATAAAAATCTTTAACACACGTAAGGAACGACTATAAAAATAAACACATTGACAAATAATATTCATAAAGTACTCAAAGTATTTACACATAAAAGCATAACATTTATACCTCTATATGTATTAAACTGAGCAGAGAATCAGTTCAAGTATCATCGTTCCTTTAACACGAACTGTGCCAACTAGAAGGATTCCCTGAGCGTGTGTACCAACCTGAGTCACTGAAAACACACACACACACACACACGGGAAATGTAATTGTGTAAAGAAGTTAAATCAGAGGACGTGAACGGGTGGTAGTTTACGTGATGGTAGTTAGCGTGTGGATGAATTATGCCTATCTATCTATTAATCAAGCCATCTGTTTACCTATATATTTTATTTTATATATCTATCGAAGTGTCTCTATTTATCAACCTTTATTCTTTTATATATTATCCATTGTTATGCTCATATATGCTGCCTTGGTCACTGTATACTTACATACGTGTCTATACAGGATATTCATTTATCGACTAAATTTTAAGTATAACTATTAATATATGTATCCATCTACATATCTATCCAATAGACTGCCTTATGCTCTTTTTTCTTCAAGTTTCTCTTCAGTTTGAAAGGAGCACCATGGAGGGTGATCATTACGTCGAGTTATTCCTTGATATGAGTCTTGGTTATAAGGGTAACACTCCCGTACCGAGGTGAGGATGTAATAAGATAATGAGAATGGCACCCAGTAATTTACCTCGTGATGGTGTGCTTCCTGGCGTGTATCTCAAAGTAAAGTTTGTTTCATTAATTTATTTAAACCCGTCTGTCTACTGTATCCATAATCATCATTTATTGTTATTGTTGTTACAAGTATTATTATATTTATTTGTTATTATCGTTATTTATTATTATTGTTATTGGGGCAAGGAAGCAGGTACTTCCTCTCAGCTTGACGTGTATAGTGTCTTGACTTTCCCTCCCATTTTCTGTTATTTGTTGACCAAAACGGGAAATAAGAAGTAACTAACACGGGGATGTTTGCTCACCTGTCACTATAGACGGAGAGTACCTGGAGGAGTACCGAGAAAATTTAATCTTGATATTTTGTTTATTTTTATTTGTTTACGACGTGGCGTTCAACTGGACAAGCGGAATCACTAGTTAGATTCGTACTGGTATAATAGTGTTATCAACCTATTTTTATATTATTTCATTATCATTATTGCTTCTCTGATTGTTTTTCGTTGATTAAATTTTGGTGGCTACAGAATTAAGCCACGGAAAGCCCCGACAACCTTCCTAAGTGGTGGAAACAATGAGCAATTGGGTTGTGCCCCAATTTCATCAATTCCCACCAATCAGGATCTTCGTTCCCCAAATTCTAGCCAATCAGCGTGCAGACAACCCTATAAAATGAGACAGGTTTTGTGTTGTTGTGTCAGTCAGTGCTCTGCTTTTGACTAAGAAAGGTAAGGAATTTACTTATGTTTGTTTTTGATTTGTGTTTCGTTTTTTTGATTTGTGAATTTTGTCTTATGTTTTTGTTTTTAGTTGTTTGGTTTATTAAGTTGAAGTAGATTCTTGTTTCTGCTTATTAACCGAAGTTATATGCCGTTTTTAATCGAATTTGCTAATATAGGTCAAATTTTGTGGAGCGTTCGTAGGTGTATTAAGTAATCTTGTAAGCGGTCCTAATTCATCTCTCGATGGTGTAAGTTGTCTCAAGACGTGATATTTGTAAGTGCCTAAAAATTATCTAAAGTTAAATCAGACACAACAATTTATGAATTAAATTTAAAAATTAATCTTGTCCAGCTTTGTAATAGAACTTGCCTTATCGACTATTATACCTAAAGTTTTTAAATTGATAACTAACTTGCCCATCCTTGCACAAATGAAAGCCAATGACTTGACCTAGAAATTAACCATAAGCTTCTTGTATTAACATTACCATTTATAAACAGTTATCGTAATTGCTGACTTACCATGAAAACCACTCGTCAAATAGAGTAGCCATAGCATTAATAATTTGAAAAATATTTTTACTTTTGGCGCAAATTATTGTCAATTTTTTACTGTATTTCACGAAATGGGAGATGTTTGTGAAAGCGTGTAATTGTCAAACTAATCCACTTTAAGCGGTTCTCTTCACAAACATGGTGTTATTTTTATAAAGTGCTTGAGGCTGATGCATGTATTTCATAAATATATTCCAGTAAACTGGTCGACAGTAAGTGGAAATGGTATTCTTTACCAATTAAGTTCATCTGCTGCATTGTCAGTAAATTATTAAATTTTTAAGTTTTCGAGTCTTAAGAAACTTAAATTTTTATTTTTATTTCCCAGGTCGTCATGATGGGGTTGACAACCGCATTTCTGTTACTTTCATTAGTGGGATTCTGCTGTAAGTCTATTCAAACATTTGTTCATAAGTGGTTTCTTTTTAATTAAATTTAACTTTGAAAAATTTTGTATTCATGTTTAGTTGCTACACACGTTTAATTTCGAACAGGTGTGGATCTCGTAAAAACTGTTAATAGCGGTCGGAAAGATTGCTGTTATGGTGATGACACCTTCCCGCACGGTGCCGTAGTCCTGAGCCTACCAAAGATCTGTATGCAGCTTGTATGTAACCATGGCAAGGTTGAACGTCGGTACTTGGAGACACCAGGAGACAGGAACTGTGAGTAATTTGTTTTCTGGTTACTAGATTTAAACCTTGTTTTGTGAAGACTCTCGCACAACCACCAGTAGTGGTAGATAATGAATTTAACTGGTTTTTAACTTCAAGTCTAGATTTGTACGGTTTATAAAACGTGGATCACACTCCCGTGTTTAACTATGAAATTTGCGGGGTAATTTGAAAAGTATATGCGGTGATAGCTTCGGTAGGTTATCGCTCCTTTCCCGTACCACGATCTGAGTGGTAGATAAGTTGCCTTGCAGGAAGATATCTGGGTGGATTGAATACGTGATTACAATTTTGACATTCTAAAACTCTTTTTTGCGAGTTTACCTTGGCTTTCCTAGCACCCTCCCATAGTTCCCGTTGCCTCTATTCCATAATGAGCCCGAAGATTCTAACTGGACCGCAGAGTGCATTGGTAACTCCTGGTTTCAGCGTGTCTCTGGGTTCGTGGAACGCTAAAGGAGAGCAGAATATTGTGGTTGATCTCTACACAAACCTATCTTAGCCCTATAACTAGGAACTTCTACAAGGACCTTAGTGCTGTGTTCTGACGATACTATTCATTATAGAACATCTACAACCATAATATAGTATACTGTAGGAGTGTAGATAGTGAAAAACTAGTTTAATACTAAACGATGACTCTTCGTTCAGGCTGTGAGTTCGACGGACAGATGTATCCACAAGGAGCGGAACTTTCAGCTCACTGTATCACCATGACCTGCAAAAACACGTGCTGGGAACCAATGGACGAAATAGACGACTGCTGTGAGTTGCTATTGACTAGACATCATTTGCCAGTTTAAAAGTTCTTTTAGTAGATGTATTTGGTTTGCTTGCAGGGGCTTCCAGTGAAGGCTCGACGCGTTAAACTGCTCTGGAAACTAAAATGGTGTCTTCATTGACTAAAGCCTTTGAGCAGTCGATAAATATACCATCTGTACACAAGGCGGTAACAGCACGGGATTCTTTTAAACTTCATTACGACATTAACTTTGCACACTACTTTGGAATTGGTATGAACTATATGCTCGGCCGCTAGTCACTCCTGCCAAATTCCCGCAATTAATCTGCTTTTATTCTTCGATTAACTTTATTTTCTTGTATTATTTTCAACAGAAGATGGATTTAAAATTTATTCTTAATAGTACAATATTTTTCTTAGTCTAGATTTATCCACATACTAGGCATTTAATTCCGCACTAAAAACACTGGTAGCACTTGATGGTATAAACTTGATTTACCATCCCCAGGTAACGTATGTTCCCTCGACAATGACCCTCATATGATCACCTTCGATGACTACAAATACGAATGGCATGGAACCTGTAACTACTCCTTGGCCCAGAGCGACTCTACTGAATTTCCTGAGATTGGAGTCTTCGGTGATTTCAGACCCTGCAACCGTAAAGCATCCTGCCTTGACATTTGCACATTTAAGAACGACGAACACACGGTCATAACACTGACGCATAGCTCTGTCTTCGACGTAAGATTTAGTTTTAAAATTTGTTCTATAGTCGATGTTCTTTTAAATTAATGAAATGTATTATCCAGTATATATTAACATGTGTTGTTTCTACTAACGTGATCTCTTCCTTAACTATATTAGATACTCGTGAACGGTGATCCTTACCATGTGAAGCCCGGCAAGGTGCAGGCTGTGAAGTCTTCTCATGGTTGCCATCCCGTCTTAGTTTGGCGTATAAGTTTCAGATGCATCAGACTCCTGGGCTCGTCAAGACTTATGGTTAGTTTAATTGGTTATGGCTTTATTGTTCTTTAAATGAAGATGAAAAACTTTAAGGAATTTACAGAGTACATTAAATTCTATAAATAATAGTTAAACAAATTGCCTTTGCTTGGTACTTTTAATATTCAAGGTCTGCATTGTCTTCCTGTAAGCAATTAAATTCTGTTATTAACAATCCCTTAACAAAGACTTAAGTTAGAGGACGTACTCTAGACCAGGTCTTTAAGGCGGGGAAGAATAGACTTGCGCCGTGAGACGTTTTGGAAGATTTTTTCTCATTCTAAAGAATATTGTAATAATCGGGTTTTGGCAGACGTGGAGTTTATCTACGTGCCAAGTAACTCCACTAATTGATACGAGGTACTGTGTACACTAATACATAAATGTAGGACACGACCGGTTAGATTATAAAATGTTGCTTTAACTTTGGTATAGTTACAAACGGGCAATTCTTGGTTTACGATTTAACTTGACTTTACGGAGTTCTGTTAATACTGCACTTGGCTCTTAGGAGTTTGCTTGAACATGGTTCAATTTTGTTCATTGCAAAATTTACTTGCCTGTAAGTAGTCTACCTAAGATGCCTCCTGTTAATTTAGAGGTATTTCAGATCCAGCACTGCAAGAACACGATGCAAATCTGGGCACACCCGTACCACACAGACAACCTGGACGGGCTGTGCGGTCACTTCAACTTCTATATGGAGGACGACTTTACGAATAGAAACGGACAAGTCCACAATCTGGTTAAGTGGCCTCAAGCCTTCCCTTACTCCTGGCTGGTATGTAGTACTTTATCTTAACCAGACGGTAGCAAATATGATATGATTTTCATCCTAGGAATTCCATCGGCCTTGATTTTTTTACTAGAAACGGAAGGTTCTTCCAAATAGTTTTCCTAGCTACCGCAAGTTTTAGCAAAAAAAAATAATGCTTAAATAATGTAGTAAAATAACCGTTTGCGATAGGTGGCTGAAGCTAGGCTGATTATTTTTTTTTTCTCCAGACCAATACCCAGATGGACAGAATCTGTTCCCGGCATTGTCCTAAATGCAGAGAGGAGACGACGGTAAGCACAGATTTGTTCAAAAGTAGACCGTTAACCAAACCGGTTCAGAGGGTATTCTAGTTAAACTTGGTTATATCTTGAGATAGTCTTAATGGATGTTGAGAAGCCAACGGCGTTTTTATGTGATGCAAACTTAAGTTTATTCTACGCTTAACTTGGGCTACCTATTAGTTACGTAGATTTGTTGCATTACTTGGCTAGAATATTTTGACCGTTTAATAATCAAACGGTCTCCTTAATTTTCTCATTGCAGGAGAACCCTTGTGACGCGACTTCCTTACAGTGGCGGCGGTACATGGACATGTGTGAGAAAAAACTGTTGAAAGCCATCGGCCACAGAACAGAACTAAAGAACCGCATCGGTAAGTATTTTGTTTATTGTAGAGGAAACCATTTTTCTTCCCACTTTCTCCTGATGTCTTGAAGTTGGCGATTCCTGACTGGGTAGCAAGATTAATCGGACATGTCTTAGTTTCTACGGAACATGACTTTGTAGATCATGGCTTTTTGGTAATCGAACCTTGCACCTATCTACTTGTGATGTCTTCTCGAGAACAGACCTCTGTTCGGAAATTGCTCAGTGTCTGAAGGCTCTAGTATTCTGGATACTTTCTTGGACTAGGAAGATGGTTTTGTCGTTTGCTGTCGTAACTAAATTAATTCCCTTACGACTTTGTCTCAAAATTTTAGTTCTGACACTAATTAAACTTGTCTTCCTTGTGGCTAGGAACCTACTTTAGTTTTAGTGTAATTGAAACCAAATTGCCTTCGTTTCAGAAAACTGCGCCTTTGACTTGTGCATGATGGAGCAGAGCGGAGAGAGGTTGGAGGAGCTGCAGCGGTGGCTTCATGAGCTGCTGGAGTTGATAAAGATATTGGCGGAGATCTGGGACAACACCAAAGGTACGGATTACAACTGTCTTAGTCTCTTCGGTAATCGAAAGGGTTGATACATTTTAGCTGGTATATGAAAATTATTGAATTTCTTTTTACCGTAATATTAACCTGTACTTTTACCATTTAACCGTATCTTCATATTTTCTAGGTCACGTTGTTCCACAGTATTCGCAATAAGGTTAGTTTACTATATACTAAGGATACTGTACATATATTTAGGTAGTCTTGCGTTACAACCAAATGAATATTGTTTGTTAAAACTACATGCATTTAATTTTTCTACATTAACTCTACATACTAAGTGTCTCTTCTTCACAGTTGGTGGCAGGTGATTTGTGGTATCAAAAGGACATTCGATGACGCAGCGTGGCATACTTGTTACTATTCCTTTAATTAAAAATGTTAAAATATTTTAATAAAGTTTATTGGCTCAAATTAGGTTTTATTTCACATAATGAAGCTGTAGATGCCCTGAAGGAAAATGATGATCATGGAATGATTCTGGAGACTTTGTAAAAGGCAGACTTGCTCCATTGCCTTACAGACTCATTGCATATTTAGTTCAAATTAAACTGATTTAAATACTCGGCACGAGTACCGAAAATACCAATCAGTGTTGTAAGACTGAACTCTTGCCCCAGTGTTCTAACCTCTTTCACCTGAAGGGTCTTGACAACTAGTTGAACTTGGTTATATACATAACTACTGGCTCCAGTACTGAAAGGTTTCTCAAAACTGCTTCTATATCATTGTTGGTTCGTTAGGTCTCGACTTGGATATATTGTATTTTCTAACTCGGTGGGATAGAATTGGTTTACTATTAAATCAGTTTTGTTGCAAGTTTTAAGGCGCTGCCAATACTACTGTAGAAAATTCCTTCGTGTAAGGCGATTAAAAACTTCTGATGTTTTGCTCCTATACTAATGGAACGCTCTTAAACCGTGTTGGCTATACTGCAGCACCTAAACGCTAGTGTATGATTCGTTGGTGAATTTTGAAACCACTTGTAGTGAGAACTTTCTGTATTGGATTAACTCGCCAGTTCAGACTTGAGCTATGCTGGTTGGCAGTGTTTCACGAGAGGCCTCCTGTGATGTTCAAAGACTTCTTTTTGATAGTGTATTTAAACCTCTGACGCAAACTTGGACCTTCTTCCCGTTCTAATGTTTTTTATCTAGAAGTAGTGCTAACGGTGCTGTTATTCCAAGGTGTTGTCGAAGTCTGCACCGTTGACCCTCTTTATTTACGAAGTTGTTGGCTTTGTTTGATAATCCAATGAACCTTCCACACTGGTATCCTGAGCCTTCCCATCCGTCTCTGGCACCCATTATTTCTTGGAACTATCTAATGCTTGTGCTTCCACAATACGAGCTCGAGAAATTCTAAAATGAGTACAGTACTTTCACTGCTTAAAACCCTGCCGTAACCCTTCCACAACATCGATAACTAGCGCTCGCCTTGCCATACTGTAATCCTGCAGACCCCCTTAAGGCTGTCGTTCTGGCAAAACTCGTGGTACAAAACTTCCACAGGTGCAGATCTGCTTTTCATAATTAAGTCTTGCGTTCATATAAGCTGTTCATGACTGCACTTGCTGTATCATTTATTTTCTATTGAGGTCGTTCAATATGTAAATTTCCGTTGTATTTTCTATGTATGGCCAACATTTAATTTGGTAGTTCAGTATATTGAAGCTCGACTAAACGTTTACGTCGTAATACTTTATAACTTGGGACATACTCCCGGCGGCGGTGTGGGCGTGTGAAACTTTTCCTCCTTTGCCGCCATAGATGTGGTGAGGCTGGTTTCCTTTTCGAATTCAGGTTTTCTTAATTTTGTATTTTATCTATTATAGTTCAGTATAATTTTACTCTCGGCGCCGCTTTGTCCTCCAGGAATTTTATTTTTGCAGAAGAGAATTCGGGAGCGACCTCGCTAGGAATGAGGGTACGATTTTGGTTATGCAAGATAAGGTACAACCAGTTGCTGGTTCTAGTTTCTTATGCCAGTCAGTCGACACTCCTGCCAGCTACATGACCTCATTTCCTGGATACCTACGAAATGAGATTGAGGCGGATTTGGCTTACTTTAAGGTGCAATTAGTTTATTTTATCGCTTTACGATACGTTTAAACATCACACCGAGGGTTAAGGCACCACATACTCGATACTTTTTGTGTGTGGGGTGAGAGGGTGTTACAAGCCACGAATCCCAACTAGGATGACGCCATTATGAAGGAATCGCTCCGTTACCTGTTCTGATTGCCGTAGTCTCGCCCATTGAGTCGATACAAAATAGGGTTAAATTGCATCCACTACATACTCTACACGTTAATATTACATGCATTAGATTAAGTTAAATACACCAATTACACACCATGCCTAGTATGGTGTGTAATGGAGACGACAAACAGCCTCAATCTGCCATGTTTGTTTCATTCAATTTTATCATTTGCTTATGGAGGAAATTTATTGAAAATACTTATGATAAAGTTAACTTTATAAGCGAAGCTGACGGTTAGTTTCAGAACTGACAATGTCATCTTTACAATAATTGGTGAAACAGACATTTGAGACATTACACGGATATATCATAGAAACAATCGACTAAAAACGGCTGGACAATTTTAAGTCAAAGAACTGAGTGAAAAGATTCGTCCCCAGCAAACATCTAACAATGAATGATAGACTAGTATATACAAAAGTAATTTCAAATATTTAAACATAATAAAGTTTGTTAGATCAGGGATAATATACAATAAAATGAATTTAAGAGGGAATAACACTGCAGCTTAGTACTGATATCTGGCAAAGTGAATCTTAACGGATACTAATACCTGTTAAGTGAGAAACGGCCCTAAATTTCTCCCTACTACTGTAAATGTTAATATGGATACATGGTGAACTATTGCAGATCAAAGAAATATGTACTCTAAACGAAGGAAACCGAGCAACATACACGGAATGCTTAATGTTGCTGTCTATACGCGGTTTTACAAGATATAACTGCAGTAATGACGGAAGGAAAACCTAACCCGAACAAAATCGGAAGAAAATATAAAACATGCCAAAGATGAGAGAACCTTCCATAATGTCCTGATCATAACGGATACAGACAGGCCCAAAGTAACGATGGAAACCGCGTACAGCAACAACCCGAGAGTTACCGAACTGCGGGGAAGAGAAAAGGACAAATCTGAACCAAAATGAGCAACAATAATCGGCAAAAGACCTGAAATAAGAGAAAATATTCTAGGTGATAAAAAAAATTCATTGTTCAGAGGCATCTCAATAAAATGGAATGAGGAGGATTAGCAAGTGATTGAGAACTATAGCACACCAAAGAAGACGAGAAAAGAGATTCACCACAAAAAAAAATATATATATTACCCCAAACAAAAAAAAATACCATCTTTATCAAACAAACACATTTCTACAAGTTTCCGCGAGACTAAACCATGAAACAGATTACATCATCACCCAGTGGTTATGAAAACGTTTCAAACTTATACCATGAACCAGTCGAAGAAGCAACCCTCATAATGTTGGTTGATGCTCCACACACACAAGATGAGTTACAGACATCTCCCGGAAGTTGCTACAAAAAAAAGAAAATGATTGTTTAAAGATAATGAATGTGTTGTGTTCTTTATATCTCCCGCTTAATACCTGCGTTGGAAAGAGTACCATTGTTCACTTGATAAATCAGCTGCCTCGGGCTTACACACACTGCCAGGTGGTTTGAATACACGCAACCCATAGCGGGGAGATCCTATTAAAAACACACATGGGATTTTTTCAAGAAATGGTATATAGAAAATCCTATTATATTGTTGAATGATGGATCACGAACACATTATGCTACAGTAACCAATGAGATTCTCAACTTGACTTTCCTATCTTCTTTGGAAACCTACAGTACTGAAAATGTGATAAAATTACACACAGATACAGGGAATGGGATTAAATACAAAAACAACAAATAAAAACGATTGAAAACCCCAAGATCAACATTGTAACAGCCACTGACTCTGAAGTTACGCCCTGATACCATCAGTGTTAAAATCTTCCTCACTCCTCTAGTATCGCAGTGTAATTATGAATGTAATCAATAATTTAAGAAAGAGAAACCACCTACCTACCAGGAGCTGCTCCACGAACTCCGCCGCTCATAAGAACATTGGTACCGAACCTCGAGAATATGGTGTAAGGAACGCCAGGTGTTTGGAATATACAGTAGTTACATACTATTAGATTCTGTCAAAACATCAGAACAGAAAGATTATTTGATTTATAAGAGATTGTTGTTAGGGGTACAATTATACCTGGAAAACATTCAATTTATCATTCTTATAAAAGGAAAAATAATACGATTCTTCGGAAAATATAAAATACTGACGAACCTCTAAAGTTATGGGTTAAGAAGCAACGCATCGACAGTAATAAAAGCAAATGACAAAAAAGTTAGAGTATGAATTGACAGTTTTCCTGAGAAAAAAAAAAATTCTGTGGTTGCATTAGAATCCCCCCACCTCTCTCTCTCTCTCTTACACCACTTCTAGCTCAAAGGTTCATGATGGCGTGAGAACCAACAAGTAACTAAGGTACTCAGCTGAAACTGATGTATGAGCCACGTCAGCCACACCGTCAGGAGGACTTCCCTGCCTCATGTAACTGACGGAATCCCTGCTGGAGATGTACTGTGAGAGAAATATGTATATACTGTAGATAGATTGGGCTCATGTATACAGTACCTACGGATTCTTGAATTAAAGAGAGAGAGAGAGAGAGAGAGAGAGAGTCAGTCATTAAATACAGTAGGTAACGAGACGGAGAGAAAAATATGTACCATTATTTTACAACTGCTAACTTTAGATTCCATACCTCATCATATTTTTAAATTATTCATTATTTTTTTCCTCTCTAATATACCACACACTCCAAAAAGTATCTTTACAGGGAGGTCCGATGAATTTTAAAGTGAACACTGTGACTCCTGTTGTCTCGGTAGTGTTGTCAAAATCCTTCGTCCATTGTGTCATATTGTCTAATACAAAATCAGTAAGTTGCTTTTTGGAGCATGCGCATCTAAATACCAGATATATATATTCTTGCTTCATTATATATTTTTTTTATCTTCCTTTAATCGCACAAAGTAAAAAACAAATATATATATATATATATATATATATATATATATATATATATATATATATATATATATATATATATATATATATATATATATATATATAATGTTATCTTTATTTTTCTTAGGCTCACACATCTCGTCTCCATTGTAAACATAAGTGTCTGCTCAATATCTCGGTGACTCACTTCACTCAGTTAGCCACGACTTACCTGCTGGAGATAATTGCTTTCATCTATAACACACTTCCTGGTTATCCCAAGCCTTTGTATTGTTTAAACCAAGGC